CTCTTACAACTGCTGATGGAAAAACCAAAACGATCAAAGGTTGTGAGTGGGGAGGGAAGCGTCAAATAGGAATTTCTCCATGATTTAGTAGTGCCTTGTGGTTTAAAATCATAAAAAACTAAGTAAAATAAAACCAGTTTTCCAACATCACTACTGAGTCTAAAGTTTAAGTGAAATATGTAACTACAAAATTTTCTAGATGCAAAGATACAGAGCAATTTTAATAATAGCTTTACAGGGGGAAAATACAATAAAGTATACATTTAATAAATATGACATGAGGTATATATGACAATTTATTTCAGAACTGTTAAACTGTGAGGGGGAAAAAATTTAGGTCTTAGAATCAAGGAAATATGATAGTTTGCTCTAGGTCTGTTCCAAATAGATAACAACTAATATACAGATAAGTAATGAGTTAAAACTATTCTTACAAGTTTTGCCAGATAAACTAAACTTACCAGGTTTTTATCTTACCCTCAACTACTTGTGCTCAGAAGCTGCACAGAAAAGATATCTACATTTCAACGGTCAATATGCAAACTCAGCTGAACAAGATTAAATTGCATTCATAACTCAAAAATAGCAGCTCCCATACCAACAGTCTTTTCAGTCCCAGGAACAGTCAGCTCTTAACAGGGCTTAAAGTATTCAAACTATTAACCAAGTAAGTCAGCTAACATTCCAGAGGGGCCCCACAGTTAAATGAAAATCTTTGTTTAAGAAAAGTACATTAAAATGATCAATTTTTTGTTATGTATATTTTATTACAATAAAGGAAAAAAAGTGTTTTACAAGTTGCTGAAAATTACTCAATATAGTTGTCTCCCTAACAGACATCTAAACCCATTACAAAATCAATACCAGCAACGGTCTGTCTTGTCCCTGCTGCCAACTCATACAGAAACCTAGAAATTGGATCCTCTCTCCCACTCCTCAGTCCTATACTCAAAAGAGAGAGGTAGGATTATTTCTATAGAATACAATGTGGACAGTGCCTCCTAGATTCATGGGAAATTTGCCTGCATTGTATTTGTAAATGAGAAGTAAACGTTCAGGTGTCAATCATAACCAAATTCCTTTAATTTGGTTCGGAATCACATTTTATGCCTTCAACCTTAGGAGAGCAGGAATACCAAAACTTGTCAGAATCTGTCAAAATTTGTCATGTATATACTGCTAAAGCTTTGTTGGAAGTGTCACCACTCTGTGGTTCCCCAGGCCGGCCTCCTTTGCCAGAGCCACCCAAAACAAAACAAGAAAACTTACGGCATAGCTTTACCAAGAAAGAAAAACTTAAGTAACACATTGTTTTGAATTAGGTATTCCTGGGGTTTGTTTCTGCTTGCGGAGGGAGGGGCAGCAGGAGAAGGGAGGAGGAGACAGATACTCTTATCAATGAACATCTATGTCTTATGTCTTGTTAAATCTCTTGTTGTAGGGCCAGCCCTGTGGTGCAACCGGTGGCACAAGCGGTTAAGTGCGCGTGCTCCGCTGCAGCGGCCCAGGGTTGGCCAGTTCAGATCCCAGGCGGGCACCGACGCATTACTTGTTAAGCCATGCTGTGGCAGAGTCCCATATAATAGTGGAGGAAGATGGGCATGGACGTCAGCCCAGGGCCAGTCTTCCTCAGCAAAAAAAAAAAAAAAAAAAAAAAGAGGAGGATTGGTATCAGATGTTAGCTCAGGGCTGTTCTTCCCCATAGAAAAAACAAAAATCTCTTGTTGTTTTGTTCTAGGTATCTTCCTCACCCTTGTCCTAAAATGAAAAATTATCAAGTGCCCTTAAATTAAAAAAAACAAAATTCTCTACAATCTTATTCTAACACCTATTAAATACAGTGCATATGAAACATGGCCAAGTGGCCAAAAGCTATGCAAACAGAAACCATCATGCATTTAGTATGCATTTAAAAAAAAAAATCCTTGCCTTTGAGAAATAAAAGCCTGCTGACTGCTGGAGCCAGGAGAGAAGCTGCCTCAGCGTATATAATTTAACAACATTAAACCAGCAAGTCAAAGAAACATTGTTCACACATTTAATTAAATATTTAGTTTGTGAATTATATGGTTCTTCATTCCTGTTGTAGTAATTCAACCAACTTGAACCCTGTTCCCACACATCCAGAAGGGACCAAACTGGTACTTAAAAGAGAAGATAAATCCCATGTGGTTGAAAAAAGGGAGGGGGGGATTGTAATTTTCCAGTAGTTTTCCTACTGAATAGTTTTCAGACTCGGGTATCCACGTCCCTAGCATAGTAGTTAAGAGCATGGCCTACAGCGTTTGAATCCTGGCTGTTATTTCCTTAGCTGTGCGACACACAGCAAATTTCTGGCACTTAACTTCACTGTGCTTCAGTTTCACATGTAAAATACTAATATATAATGTTCCCTACTTCATAGGGTTGAGGATTAGGTGCGATAACACAAATAAAGTGCTTCGAATAGTGCTTCATAAACACGACCAGCTAATATGTGAATGAATCGTTGTTACTAGTGTAAATACACATTACCCTCGTGTTTTCAGTGCATAATTTTTCCCTTTTAAAAGTCTAGTTTTAGAAGACATTTGTCGCAGGCCTAATTTACATGTGACCTGTAAATTAATTTTTTTTTAAATATTATTCCACCATTAACTCACAGCTAGCTATATCCTGAAGGCTTAATACTTACCCAAATGAGAGAGTAAAATTAAACTGGGGAGCAGGGGAGTCTAAGAAAACTATAAACTGAAATTTAAAGAAACTTGATAAATCTTATTACTGGTTAAAATGACTTTTGTTAAATGGCATGCCTCTCCTCTGGCACATTTACACTGTATCTCTTGTCCCACAGGGCCACAAGGCGTTTTGAGACAGCCTAATAACCACTAAATGATAATCCGATGTGGCAAAGAATTTGATAAAGTAAATGGTCATTAGCTTGATGCCTTTCTTGCCACTCCTAGGAGGTAGGTCAGTTCGGTTTCAGGAATTCCGTTTCGACTAGGGCTGGGCTTTGATGGTCCTAGATTTGGACCCTAGATGTCCCAGCCCCTTCCTTAACTTGAACCAAAATTCCCGGATTAGCTAAGACTGAATCCAGTCTCTCTAGGGGGTTGCCTCAGAACCAAACCAGTAACTGGAGATGGAACTGCCTTCGATAAACTACTTTTTGTACCAAACTCGGACACTACTGAATCTCCCTCTCTATAACCACAACTGTTTGACAGACACTGAATCATAAGAAGGCACCAATGTCCTAAATACACAAGCTTCTTCCAGTATACACCAGCAAGCCCTCCCCAGTAACACCCTATTCAGCCCAAAGAACGCAGGCAGAGATGAGGACAAACAGCACACCCACACTCAACCCTCATCCTTGAAGCTCTTTTTTCAAGTGTTCTGGATTCCAGTTAATTGTGCCAGAACTTCTCTCACACATTTGGTTGCAGGCAGTTTGCATCTGATTCAGCTCACTATCCCCCACACTTAAGCACAACCTGGAGTCTCCAGAGCAAATCTAGACCCCATTATCAAATCAAGAGTGTTGCAACCTCAAATCAACATTCTCCAGCTGGCTCAGAGGGGAGCCGACCTTGAGGGGTCATTCAGGTGGCCCTTAAAGGCCAATCTATACAGTCTTTCTCTCCTTGGTTTGAACACTGTCTTTGGAAAACAAAAATGTATATTATATAAAAGCTACTCCATGAAATTTGGTTAGAAACTAGAGGGGAACAAAACAGCGTGGAGTGGAGGACTTCTACCAGATCCTACAGCCAAGTCAAAGTAGTAAAGGAAAATTTAGAAGACAGAGCATCAAGAGAATACTCAGTGTGTTCCCAGAGGTGATTAATACCCTTGGGTAGTTTACGAAATAAAGTGAAACTCTTCAGGTCAGCAGTAATACCTTCAATAATAATACCACTGCCTACATTTAGATAAAAGTTTTACAACTTTCAAAGTGTTTTTATATGCACTATCCCCTTTGATCTTCACACCAATCCATGAGGAAAGGGCAAGAATGATTAGTCCCACTTTAAAGATTAAAAAGAAATCTCAAAAAGGCAGTGAAATAATAGCAAGATTACTGGATTTGGAGTCACAAGTCCTGCCATTTTCTACCACATAACTTTGGGAAAATTTTACCTAAGGTCATCTAGGCTTCCTCATCTGTAAAATAAGGATAATTAACCTGCTCTACCAAGCTTATTGAATGCCAATATGAAACCTTTGTGAAATCATTGTAAAATGCTAAATGGACATTAGTATTGACTTGACCAACATCAGAAAGTTAAATAATAGAGGCAGAACCAGATTAGGGGTCTTCTGACCTCTAAAGCCTGGTGCTCTTTCTACTATTACACCCTACAGTAGAAAAGCAAGTTTTCATTAAGGCAGTTCCAGCCATAGGTCAAGAGAAATCTTAAAAAAAAAAAAAAAAGGAAAGAAATTAACATATGCTGATTCCTATTACACTTTTCTGTATTTTTCAGCATTTCTACAATAAACATGAACTATATCCATAATCAGAAAAAAACCAGAAATGCTGACTAAATATCTAGATTAATTTTATCTTTCCTATTCTTTAGGAGAGTAAGATTTCATTCTCATCAATAGCGGGGAAGGGAGAGAAGGGAAGAAAGAGGGTACTAAGCCATGTTTCCACAACAACCAAATAATGGAAGAAGGAAAACTCTCAATCCAAATTACAAGCTGCATTTCTCAAGGATTCAACCATTCTGTCCCCACTGGAGAAAAATGGCAGAGAATCTAAATGTCAACATATTCTTGAAGCCAGAACAAAAAATATTAGACAAAGAGGACTAAAAAAACACCAAAGAGAGTAAATGCAATAATTACAGAAATACGTGTGTTTGCAGAAGCCGTAAGAACTGTGGTTATGCAACTTAAATAATCTTTCTTGAACTGAATTCTTCAACTATACATTCAACCAAAAGATAAACTAGAAACAAATATCAATAAGTAACTTAAAAAGCCCATTTGCCATTAACCTTTAACCTTAAAACCTGTTTCCGGCACCGTCGGCTCTTCTCCTGGATTACACATTCACAGATTAATTTATTGCTAGAACAGAGTCTCCAGTTCAGAGAGGTGGTTGTTCTTGTTGTTTGGCCAATCAAAGGCTGATGAGGTAGGCAGTGCAACCTGGCTGGCACGGGGTAGCAACTCCCCGCTTAATAAGTAAACACAAATACCACAGCCTACTTATCACCACAGCTTCCGCAGTAGGTCCGAGGGAAAAACAAGCGTCCAACGACGTCCTTCCCGAGCAGACTTTGAGAAAGACGCCCACAAGGCTCGCGACCAAGCAGAGCCAAGGCCACCTCACCTGTCCGAAGGTAACCAACCAGACCAGCGGGGCTACCCCGCGGAGCCGGGAAGCCAGGCGAAGCCCCGGTCTCCTCTCACCTCCCGCCTCTGCTGCTCGCTTAAAAGTAACCAGGAGCCTCGCGTGTCACAGAGCAGTATGACATCACCCGCCCCGCCGTGACAGGGCAGCTCGTCCGACGAGGCCCTTCTCGAGGCCCCGCCGCTCGCCCAGAGGCGGCCGGGCCACAGGGCCCGCAACAGAGCCGCGATCGGTCGGGGGAGGCGGGGGTGACCACAAACCCGTGAGGTTTCGCTTTCGTTCACCTCAGATGGAAGGGGTCGAGGCGGGGCCAAGGGGCCCGCGTCTACATTTGGCGGAAGAGGACGAGGGGGAACGAGCCTGGGAAGACGGCGGAAACAGAGGCTAAGGAAGGGCCTTGGCTAGCGCTCCCGCGCAGAAATCGGCGCCTCGTCGCTCCCAAAGACCCAGCAGACTCGCCCCCGCCCCTCCCCCGCTCCGGTACAGTTCCGCATGCGCGGTACTAGTTTCCTAGATTCTCCAATCCCCGCCCAGCTTTCCGGAGTCCCGTCGCCGACCAGGGCCCCGTTTCCCCAGGGTGCAGTCTATCCGAAAACGGAGACTACTCCCACTCTTGCTCATACACTAACTGCTAACCCCTTTTCCATTTCTCACTCCTGGCGTGCGCAGTTCTAGCTTCAGCAATACCTTCTTACCCGCCTGTGAAGAGCCCACACAGCTCTTGTAACACCGGATGTACTTCTGACTCTCCCAGGGTCCGCCCCAGACTCTTTACCCTGCGCCCGCCCCTCGAGGGAAGCCCCGCCCCCGCGTTCCGCTGAAGGGCAGTCTTCATTGGCCGTTGGCCGCACTTCTGCCTTTCCATTGGTTGTAGGGCATAAACAGCGACGCCTACTTCAGAGCTATTCGCTTATGCCCTTGTCGCTCAAGACTCTGGTCGCCAACCGGCGTCGTAGCACAAGGTGTCTGCCTTCTTCCTCCCTAGTAAGGAAGGATCACTGTCCAAAGCCGCCTGTGGTGGAGAAAGAGAAGAGGGGCGGTGCCACCCGGGCGGGTCCCACCCAAGATACCTGGCAAGTTGTGGAGGCCCCACGACGCGTGATGCGATAGCCCTGCAAAGTCCTGAGATTCTAGTTTCAGGCTTGTCATTGAATGTTAAAGGAGGAGAGAGGTTCAGAGAACATAGAAAAGCCCTCTCACTGGGGCCAATTTGCTGTGTATCTAGTGGAGCTTAAGCTTCAGAGCACCTTTGAAGGCTCAGCGAATTCTCCAAGAACACGAGGAGGAAACAGCAGCCCCAGTCCTGCATTGTACGCGCGGACCCCAGCCTGGAGGTCACCCTCTAAGCCCAAGTGGTGATCCGAGGGCCGTGGGCAGGGCCAGAGGGTTGCCAGGACCACCTCCCCCATGCGGGAGGTGGGTAGTTCTTTATAGTCACCTCGGTCCTTCGAGTTGGGAGTGGAATGGGGTGGGTGGGAGAGGAGACCAGGGCGGCGACCCGGCTGAGCTACCCTGGCAGCCCGGAAGAAACTAAGCCAAGGGAGATCAAAGGGCTGGAGCTCCCCGAGGGCTTGTCCCCAACGAAAGCACCACTTGTGCAAGAACAAAGGAGTTGCGAAACGGATAAAAAACGTTTCTACACTATCAATTTTTAAAACTATTTTTTTACTAATTTATCCTTCTAATATCTCTATAAAGATAGTACAAAATGGTCATATGAAGAGGCAAAGAGTATGCAGCCAAAAAACAGAAAAAAAAAAAAAAGAGCTTATAGTGGTTGCCAGGCAGTTAATAATAATAGTTATTTTTCTGGGTTTTTCTGATGTTTGTCGTTTTGTCAGCATTTCAAAATCTGTAATGATTTCTTTTTTTATTCTAAATAAATATTGATATTATTACATAATTTTATATTCTTTTTCTTAAATATAGCCCCACAGTTGTAGGTGTTTCAGGCTGCACAAAACATAGATCCCCCCACCCCTCATTTTACCGATGAAGAAACAGGCCAACGGACAGAAAAGATTCTGGCAAAATAAGGGGAAGAAATTTAGATTAAGCGTTTGATCAGTGGAGATTAGATCAGAATCTAGGATTTAGGAACTCACTTTCTAGAAGGATAGAATAGCTATCTTTTCAATAAGAATTCAAATGTGATGGGGGCGGACCCTGTGGCTGTGTGGTAGTGGTTGGGTTCCACACACACCCCTTCTGCGGTCCAGGTAGTGGATTCGGATCCCCAGGGCAGACCTAAACCACCTGTCAGCCGTGCTGTGGTGGCAAACCACATATAAAGTAGAGGAAGATTGGCACAGATATTATCTCAGGGCTAACCTTCCTCAAACAAAAAACCAGGAAGATTGGCAATAGATGTTAGTTTAGGGCTAATCTTCCTAAGACAAAAAATTCAACTTAAAAAAAATTTACATGTTTGAGGTATGATTCTCAGTACACAAACTCAGGTATGCAATAAATATAATTTTTTTTTCTGTGGTGCAACCTAATATTTACTCTGAACCTCATTCCTCCAGAGTGGGAGAAAATGTATTGTCAGTCTTCCTTGGGGTTTCTCTCCCCTCCCCACTCTAATTTCTGCCACATTTCTGGGGCTAAAAGTGCTTGGGAACAGGGACTATCTGGTTCCTGGTTATCAATCCAAGGGGTTGCTGCAGAGGTGTTTACCTTTGTACTAGTGTGACCCTTTCAGGTTCAGCAGCTCTATTGCCATGCCATACGTAAAGGCACAAGAAACCTTTTGTCAAGCTAATATTGCATTCTCCATCTAGAACAATAGGTTGCCAGGAGTTTCACCTGCATAATGTTGACATATGTTATTCATTCATTGATGACCTAGATTATTTATTCCATTTCTGGCTCAGGGTCTCATGAGGTTGCAATCAGATGTCAACAGGGGCTGCAGTCATCCAAAAGCTTGACTGGGGCTAGAGGAATTACTTCCAAGGTGGCTCACTCATATTGCTGACAATTTGGTGCTGGCTGTTGGTAGCAGGCCTCAGGTCCTCTCTCTGTGGGCTCCTCCATAGGGCTGTTTGAATGTCCTCAAAGCATGAGGGCTGGCTTCTCCCAGAGTGAGCAATCCCAGTGACAGAGAGAGCTAGATGGAAGCCCTTTTTATGACTTATCCTTATAAGCCACATAGCAATCACTTCCTTATAATAACACCCTTATTCCCAGACCTCTGTCCTGGGTTCTGTGGCTCAGAGGGCCTCATGCTTTCAAGGGCCTTCCCGGAAATTTTCTGTCTCCCTCATGTGCCTAGGACCAGACAGGGCCAGTAGTGCCATTAAGGCTCAGTCCAGACCAGGCCCTGCACAAGCTCTAGTCCCAGTTTCTCCCCTTCATGGCATTCTCCAATCGCAGGATGCCCGAGGAACTCTGGAACTCATGCCTATGGGGTCATCCTAAGGCCCCGTGACCCCGTCTCAATTCCAAGAAGGCATCCTGGTGAGTCGATCACTCTTGCTAGCCAGCATGATATTTCTTTTGTGGAATTGCATGAGATTGGGTCTCTGGGATGGTGGTGACATGCCTATTTGGGGTCAGACAGAAGATGAGTTCAGGCCTCTGGGCTACCAATAGCCCTCCACCAACCCTTGGGCTTGAGTTGTGTGTATGGGTCCCTGTGTTGATCCTCTCCTGTCATTAATCTGAGTTTGGAGCTGCCTGTGGTCCACAGCCCCAGAGGACAACAGAGTGGCAGCAGGCATCTTTTATCCAGTACATCACCACACACCACCAACCTCACCCCCCCCACTGGCACTCAGGGTCAGTCTATTCCCTGCAAAGACTCTGGGACATATGTCAGGCAGTCCTCTGGGAGCAGTCCCACCTTTCTCCCCCAAGATCATTTCCTCGGTGCTTCTGAGACTGTTGCTCCACAGAGCCAACAGGACCTTTCCAACTGATGTCCTCTTTTGTTTCTGAGTGATGTGGTAATACAATACTCTCTCCCATGTCAGTCTTAAGTCATACCAAATGAGGCATACACAAATGGCATCATTCCTCTTGCTCCACCATTGACCCCTCACATAGATTCCCTGTTGGTGGTGGTGTGTGGAAGGTAGGGGTGTGGTCAACACTGAAAGAGATCACAGTCTGGGAATGCTGTGATTATGGTTTAAAGAGTACAAGACTAGACATGGTTGGAAGAGGTGTTGTTCTATGTTTATGGCATAAAATTCTGGACGAAAATTTAACATGACCATAAGACAAATTATTGTTTAAATTTTCTTGCATACTCTGGGTAAGACTTGCATTTGTGGTCATCATCAATAGCACAGTAATAATTTTTGAGGGAGTCTCTGATGTTGTGTCATGAATAATGATATAACCAGGAGTAAATAAATGGTATAAAGGAACTACAGAGACAAGAATGTCTGTATTGTCTCAATATAAATATGTTCCAAAGAGCCATGGCATTGTATTAACAGTGTTACTATCTTTTCTCCTGCTAGGAGATATGAAATTAGCCAGCAGTGACTTATTTGGCAATAAAGAACATGAAGAACGTGATTTCTGAACCTGAACAAGAAGAGATGGTACCTGGACACTGAAGAATCATCACATGCTCTGATATGTACAATAAACCGATATCTCTTCTCTACCCATTACTCTAAGTCTTCATGGCTAAATCGTTATACCTCCAATAGGCTCATAAATATGGTAATACATTTTTAAAATGAGATATAATTCACATAACATAAAATTCATCCGTTAAGCTATACAATTTAGTGTGCTTTTTAGTATATTCACAAGGTTGTACAACCATCACCACTATCTAATTCCAGAATATTTTCATTAAGAAACCCAGTGCCCATTAGCAGTCACTCCCCATTCCCCTCCCTCCCCGATGCTGGCAATCACTAATGTACTTTCTGTCTCTATGAATTTGCCTATTCCAACATTTAGTATAATAGAATCATACAATATGTGGCCTTTTGTGTCTAATTTCTTTAACCTAGTATAATATATTCAAGGTTCATCCATGTTGTAGCATGTATCAGTACTTCATTCCTTTTTATGGCTGAGTCATATTCCATTGTATGGGTATATAACATTTTGTTTGTCCACACATCTGTTGACATTTGGGTTGTTTCCAATTTTGGCTATCATGAATAATGCTACTGTGAACATTCATGTACAATTTTTTGTGTGGACATATGTTTTCATTTCTCTTGAGGACTGCCAAGGCTAGGTCATAAAAAGCCATGCAGCTTCTGCCTGTTTCTCTTGGAGCACTTGCTCTTGGAACACTCTTTGGAGACACTCCCTTTTAGAGAACTGAGTGGTCAGCTTGTGAGTCTAAGTTACTTGTAGAGACCATGTGTAGGTGCTCTTGTCAACAGTCCCAACTGAATTCAACTTCTGAGTCATCTTAGCCCAGATGCTACACATGTGAGCAACGGAGCCTTCAGAGGATTCCAGCCTCCAGATGATTCTAGCAATTCAAGTCTTCCCAGCTATACCCTGCTGTGCCTTTTCCAAATTCCTGTCTCATAGAATTCATGAGTCTAATAAAATGGTTGTTGTTTTATGCCACCAAGTTTAGGGTGGCAAAGATAACTGAAACAGCGTTCTTTCTACAAATCAATAAGAAAAAGACCAAAGCCAACATAAAAATGGGCAAAGGATATAAACAGGCAATTCACCAAAGAGAAAACCCAAATGACCAATAAACACATGAAAATATGTTCACTCTCACTAGTAACTAGAAAAATGCAAATTGAAACAATCATATATAACATTTCACACAAGATTGGAAAATTGAAAAGTCTGACAACTCCAGTATTGGTGAGGAAGCCAAAAAACAGGAGGTCATATACTGTTGACGTAATGGAAAATTAGAGTGAACATGTTGGAGAGCAATTTAACAAGATCTAGCAAAGCTGAAATGAACATACCTCATAACTTCCAGATATATATTTTAATGCATAAATATAAAGATACATACCTAAGGCTATTTATTGCGACATTTTTTGAAATAACAAAAAATTAGAAACATGGTATATTTATACCATGCATTCTCAACAGGGGTGATATCACCCCGAAAACAGTAAAAATTGGTTCTTGGGGGGTGCCAAAATCTTAGGTGTAGTTTGTGGTAGTGACCCTCCAAAGCTCAATCCTACCCAACAAAAGCCTATCCCTTAGTATTTAATTTCTCTTGTTTAGGGAAATTAAAACTAAATTTGAATCATTTAATAACTTTAATAAATTTTCTCCTTGGGGGAGATAAAAGAAAGGTTGAGAAACAGAGTTGTACAATGAAAAACCATACAGCTGCTACAACAAATGTATTAGATTTATATGTATCAGCGTGTACACATCTTGTACACAATATGAATAAAAACAAATTACATAACGTTACCTACAATATGATGCAATTGATATAAATACAACATAACACCCAGAACAATAATATACATTGTTTATTAATATATACACAAGTGTTTTTATTTTTTATTTTTTTGTGAGGAAGATCAGCCCTGAGCTAACATCCATGCCCATCTTCCTCTACTTTATATGGGAAGACATATGACAAGCAGTGCGTCGGTGCGCGCCTGGGATCTGGGCCTGAGAACACCAGGCCACCGAAGCAGAGCGCGGGCACTTAACCGCTTGTGCCACTGGGCCCGCCCCTGTACACGACTGTTTTTATTTTATTTTTATTTATTTATTTTGTGTGTGTGTGTGTGTGTGAGGAAGATCGGCCCTGAGCTAACATCTGCCAATCCCCCTCTTTTTCGCTGAGGAAGACTGGCCCTGGGCTAACATCCATGCCCATCTTCCTCCACTTTATATGAGACTCCGCCACAGCATGGCCTGACAAGCCGCGCGTCAGTGCACAACCGGGAGCCAAACCGGCCAACCCCGGGCCGCCACAGCAGAGCGTGTGCACTTAACCGCTTGCGCCACCGGGCTGGCCCCCGCAAGTGTTTTTAAAAACTTGGACTGTATAAACATTCGATTCAAGATAATAGGTGCCTCTAGGGAAGACGGGCAGTGAATGAGATTAGAGAAAGGAAACTTCAACATATTTATAATGTGTTATTTTTATGAAAAATTATCTGAAGCAGGGGCTGGCCCAGTGGTGTCGTGGTTAAGTTCGCTGGCTCCGCTTCGGCGGCCCAGGGATCACAGGTTCGGATCCCAGGTGTGGACTTACGCACCACTAATCAAGCCATGCTGTGGTGGCATCCCATATAAGATAGAGGAAGATGGGCATGGATGTTAGCCCAGGGCCCACCTTCCTTACAAAAAAAAAAAAGAAAAAAACTTATCTGAAGCAAAAGTTATAAAATCTTAACATTCAGGGCCATCCCGTGGCTTAGCGGTTAAGTGCACACGCTCTGCTACTGGTGTTCGGATCTCCGTGCGCACCGATGCACCGCTTGTCCAGCCATGCTGAGGCAGCATCCCACATACAGCAACTAGAAGGATGTGCAACTATGACATACAACTATCTACTGGGGCTTTGGGGGAAAAATAAATAAATAAATAAAATTATATAAAAATAAAAGAAAATGGCCGTTGTATTTGACTTTAAGGGCTAGGAGAGACTAAAAGAATGGTGAGGAGGAAGGTGGGAAGACAGCAATAGATTCTGCATTCCAGTAGTTAGGGAGGAGGATGTGGCAGAGTTAAGAAGGAGATAAAAAGCAGGCCAAATTCTTCAGCCTAGGGCAAGGATGGAGAGGAGAACAAGGAGGGGTGGGGGGGCAACTTGAAAATGACTTGGGGTCCTAGGCTAAACACAACCCTAGGGAGGCCAGCGTGGTTCCCCAACACATGGGGATAAACATGGCTTCCCTGAGGTAATTTCTTCTGTGTCTCACACCTTTCCTTGTCTGCTTTTATAACCCCAATCCCTCCTTCTGATCTCAAATGCACTGACCTTTTTCTGCCCCGTGGTTATGAGGACAAGCAGCTGACAGAAATGAAACACATTAAAATCCACACCATCACCTACAAATGCGTGCGAGTAGTTATGGTTCTGTTTCAGATTCAGAGGGCGCCTTTTCACTTCCCAGATCTCATTTGTATATCCATAGACATCTGAAGGACAGGAGTGAAGAACATTGAGCTCTCTTTTTCCAATCCCAGTACTATGGAATATTATTATTAAAGACTGGCAGGAAAGAAAAAAAAACTGAAAAATATAGCTTGCAATATCTTTTAATATCAACTCAGCCCTTTTTAACTTTTCACAGTGCAGTGATAACAATAACAAGAGTATTAGAAGAATGCTTTACTCTTTTCAAAGTAATTTTCCATCTATTATTTCACTTTATCTGCACAACAGCTCAGTGGAGAAGGTAATGCAGACATTATTAATCCCATTTTACAGATGAGGAACCTAAACTCAAATAGATTAAGTTAGTTTCCCTAAGAAATATCATAGATGCTTCATTCTTGGAAGTAATTAGCTCTTTCCATATCACTGTGGAGCTTCAGCTGAGTTTCAGATCAATTACTTCAGTACTTCCCAGCACTCTAAAGTCTACACTCTTCTATCCCTATCACCATTTCCAAGCCCCAAACACTTGGCCAGCTTCTTCATCTGCTTTCCCTGGTCCTGCCTCTGTCACGTAGAGCAGGTAGAAAAGGCACTATGCTTGTATAACCATCACCTACTGCATTGACTCCCGTATCATTATTCACAACTGATGATCCAAATCTTTCCTTCATCCTTAAGGCTTCAAGAAACTTTTTTTTTCTTGCCTTACGGTGATCGTTTTAAAACAGCTCTACAAATTATTTGAGACTCCCCTCTTCAAGAGGTGGAGCCTAATTCTCCTCTCCTTCAGTGTGAGCTGGACTTAATGACCTGCTTCTAATAAATACAAGAAAGTGGAAGTGATGAAGACTAGAGAGACTAGGTCAGAAAAAGTATTGCAGCTTCTGCTCTCTCTCGGATCACTCATGGCCAGCTGCCATGTCAGGAGGACACTCAAGCAGGCCAGTGGAAAAGCCCAGGCGGTAAGGAACTGAGACCTCTTACCAAGAACTAGCAAGGAACTGAGGCATCCTGATGATAGCCACATGAATGAGGCATCTTAAAAGCAGCCAAGCCTTCAGATGACTGGAGCCCCAGCCAATAGCTTTATTGCAACCTCATGAGAGTCCCTGAGCCAGAAGCACCCAGCTAAGCCTCTCCCAGATTCCTGCCTTAGAAACTGTGTAAGATAACAAACGTTTTTTGTTTGTTTGCTTCAAGCCTCAAAGTTTGGGGGTAATTTGTTAGGCAGAAATGTATAACTAATACCCTTGCTCAATTTCCTTTCCTGATTCCAGCTGACAATGTGACAAAGCTTGAGGGTTTCACAGCTTGGGCACATTAGGGTGCCAACCATTGGAGTAAAGAGGGGAACTAATGACAAGAAGATTCTGTGGAAGAACTAGGCACATGACCTGATGAGTGTTTTAAAACAATCATTCTAGCTATTTGTGGCAAATGGATTATAAGAGAACAAAAGCGGCATCTGAGAAAGGAGTTAAGCTATTGGAATAGAACAAGTGAGAGAGAATGAGGGCTTGGACTAGAGCGGTAACTCGTGACGATGGAGTGAAGTAAATGGATACTCGTACTGTCGGGGGAAGTTTTGTG